TTTTTTTTTTTTTTTTCCTGGTAAGAATTTTTTTTTTGAAAGGCTGGGAAGCAGGCCCTGCGTCCCTTACAAAATTAGGTGGGGCCCTCAGCACATCACCGGCCAAGCACATCGGGGCCACCACTAGATTTCACCCCACAGCCAACTCTGCAGCCCCTATCACATCAACGAAAATTATCAGCAAAATCTAAGTTCATCACCAAGAAACTCTAATCACAACAGTCATGACAACCCTAATTTAGTGACCCAAATTCCACCAACCGTGAAGAAACCAGGCGCAAAAAAAGGAGAACTAACGAAGAAAACGAACCAAAACCACAGAAAGGAGAGACCAGCAATCAGCGCTACTTGATCATGTCCACTATTCATCCAGAGTTACTACCAACCCCTGCCAATCCGCCCTGCCACCCGCGCAGCAGGCGTCTGTGCCCACAGGCCCCAAACTGCTGACAAAGACCCCGCAATACCCACCCACCTCCTCGCGATTCAAAGCGGATAGCACCTCCCCACACTCTTCATTACAAAAACACCAACTCCCACCACGATGCTGTTTTCACTAACCAGGGGATTACCCCACCTCCCACGCGACAGGGGCCAAAAAGCACCGCAAAACCCACCCACCTCCTCACGATTTAGGGTAAGCCTCTCCCTCAATCTGCATATGCTTCCCCGCCCTCCATGACGAAGCCCCAGTGGAGCAATGCTCACCATTCTGCCTCAAGACTTCAGATGACAGCAGGACACCAGCATATTGAGATGAAATGAATACCTAACCCGAATTCAATGTCTCAGCGGTAATACCCTACCCTCCGTGCGGCCGGGGTCAAAGACCCCACAAACCCACCCACCTCGTCGCGATTTAGGGAAAACCACTTCCTCTAATCTGCACCTTCTCACAAGGAAACCCCACCACCCACCATACTGGTGTTTCTACAGAGCGGCACTCTCTGTTTCATTCCATCGCATGCAAAACGCTACACAAGAATGCAACAAATTACGACAACCATAACCCAAACGGCGAAAAAGGAAAACACCAAAGATCACACAAATAGCCTTAACCCTAGTCTAATACGAAACATAGAATATTACATGTCTCTCTCTCTCTCTCTCTCTCTCTCTCTCTCTCTCTCTCTCTCTCTCTCTCTCTCTCTCTCTCTCTGAGACCCTAACACGGGCCACGACAGGTGAGCACACCCAATCCGCGAAGTCGATGTGCACTCCTGCTGGAGATCGTAAGCGACATCCCCATGTGCCCCCGCTGTGCAGCGAAATGAGAAGTCCTGCAGCAATCTCCCATAGCTCCTGTCTCCCTCACCTTCGCGGGCTGCCCCTGACAACAGTGTCAGGGCAGGAGATCCCCACAAAAACCTCCATATCAAAGATCGAGGGGCACAACCCCCGATCAGTCTCGTCAGGTATGGTGCAGCGTCCGGATCCCCCCCGCCGATGGCCCCCACATATCACGCTCTCCTTCCTCCAGCGAACCAGGAATCCTGACAAAAGTCAAGTGAGACCAGCAATGACCAGGAGCATGTCACGGCTCCCTTGGCACGCCCCCCTAACACCCCAGTTATCTTCCCTGCTCGGCCATGGTCACGCCAGCGCCCAGTTTTGGCAATCGAAGCAGACAGATTTTGTCGGCCCCGTTATCGAGCCCCCAACGCCCGTATTGCCTCAGGGCTGTCTCTTATACACATCTAGATGTGTATAAGAGACAGGCCTTGCCTGGTATCCAATGCCACCTCTATAAGTGCGCACTAACATCCCTATACATGTCACCCTCTTGCCTTTCTACCCCTGAGCTGCCTGAGCANTGTTTTTTTTGTCAAGTTTTGGCAATCGAAGCAGACAGATTTCGTCGGACCCGTTATCGAGCCCCCAACGCCCGTATTGCCTCAGGGTGACATCGTAATTCTTTACTGAATTTAAACTTGTTTTTTTTTTTTTTTTTTTTTTTTTGGCCTGGCCGTGCAAGTGGTCCTGGCCCCCGGGCCACTCTGGTAGCCTAGCTTGGTAGTGGTTTGGAAGTGGCATAATGCTGATGATGTCTCCTTGTGTTGCGAATTGGGACAATCGTATCCTGATACCATATAAGAAAAGGCCCTACACCAACTGGCCTTGCTCAGTTGGTACACCGCCTGAATTGTTGAAATACAGACCCGAGTTCGAGCTTCAGTGGGAGCAGATGAGTGAAATACTTCACAGACTACGATTCTGAATTACCTAGGGCCGGTCAGTTTGATGATAATATCTCAAGGTAGTCAGTGCTAGTCACCCTTAAAAAAAAAAAGGAAAAAAAAAAAAAAAAAGGCCCTACATTGAGGCGGTAGGACTTGGAAAGGGAGATGACTTTTCAAAACCGAAACCCATCAGTCAAGCCTCAAGCCAATTGGGGTCACTACTTGACCCAGGTTTGAAGTACCTTACAACACCAAAATTACACCTGCGTCTGGGCATTTTATTCGTCGTACAGAACGCTTAGTCGTTTTATTGAGGAGGGGCATAAGCAATGCTTTGGTGCCCAGGAAAGGAGCCCCGGTGCTACCGCCTTCCCCCGAATAGAACTTACAGTCATTGTAACTCTATTTGGCACAACTGTACAACGTCCAGTCTAGCTACAGCGATAATGACCATGCGTTCTTTTCGGGGGAAGACGGTACCGCCTGGGCTCCTTTCCTTTTTTCCTTTTTTTTTTCCCTTGTTCTTTTTTTCTTGGTAGGAATCATCGGATCCTTTTCCTGCCTTACCTTTTTCGCTCTTTGTGTGTGTAGCTTTGAAATTTGAAAGGGGCATCTACGTGGCAACATGCACATGATTAAGGGTGTGCAGGGTGCATGGACGTGAACGAGTAGCCATGCAAATGTAGAGAAGTATGAATATTTCAGAAATTGTCGTGAGGCATGTAATGTGGAAAACTAGAGCAGCACTGGCTTTTGTAGCAAAGACTCAAAGAGGCCTTTTCCTCCCTCCCCCCCTTCCCCCCGGGCCCTCTAGCCGCCCACTCCTATCAACGAAGAGAGAGAAAAGAATAAAATACTTTCGGTAAATTATGCAAGAATTGGAACAGATGATGTTTATAACAGACAAGCCCTCTGCGAGGAGGCAAGCAATAAGAAGAAATAATCACAGACCATGTTTTTGAGCAATGTTGTTGGGAGACCATAACAAGAAGCGTCTTTTCTATAGAATCATTGTACTCGGTTGGCTTGCCAGTGGAATAGGAGGCTAGGAGCCAAACTGACGCTCCCCAGAGTAGAATGGAGATGAGACCGTAAGGTCCTTAAAGCACCCGTACACCACACATCGGCCCGCGGGTGTCAGCACGAAACCCACACCACTTCAGAGGCCGCCTATTCTTTTTTTTAACGGCGCCCCACGCCGCGCGGCCCCTCCAAGTTTTGCTTGTGGCAACAAAAACTTTCTGCAAGGCTGGGGCCGTGTACTTGCAGTTTAAACCGCCGGTTCACTCCGAGCAGAGAATTTCTCTTACCAGTTTACACGGGAAGCGCTTTTCGATTCAGGCCTGGGCCAGTAGTGAAAGCGACAGGCCACTTCACCAGCTCACATGAGCCTACGTTGATGAAGCTACTTTCCAAGGCTCGCGAGCCTGAAACTGCATCTTTTAAAGTGGCGTGCCGCTTTCGCTATCGGCCCAGGCCCAAATTGAAATGCTCGTACCGTGTATACCGGTAAGAGCACTACTTAGGTTCGTGCAAACTGGTGGTTTGAGGGGAAAAAAAGAGCCTACCATCTTCATTCAAATAGAAAGCCTGCCATCTTCCCCCGAACATAATGCACCCTGATCATGAATGTATACAAGCCATCTTTCGGCTGCGATACATCCATGAAGAGGGCGAGCCGTGTTCGGAGGAAGACCATAGGTGTGCTATGAGGAAGGGTGTGTTCTATCTGGAAATATTTTGACCAAAACCTGAAAACGACCTTTTTTCCTAGGCTGGGCCGTCACCCAGCCAGGCATGCCCTGGCCAGCTGGGCCGGGGGGGGATCGCCTGGCAAAACCAGGCAGGTCAAAAAAGAGGGAAGGATCCCCTCAAAAAAGAAACCGACTTCAGGCCAGAACTGCGCTCGGCCTGGGCAGTCAGAATCCGGCCTTACCTTCCATTTCGGTGATGGGCCACCCAGGGGTGTTTGGGGGGTATAAAGTTACTCTAAACAGTGACTAGAGGGGTTTAAATTTTAAATGGCTATACCTTACGGTTCTTACCTCATTTATTTTTATCTTAAAATTAATAAGGAATTTCGAGGGGACCCTCAGCCAAAAGTTGTACATACTGCAATTTTACACAGCATATTTGTTTTCCAAATTTCCAGATTTTTTTAATTATTATTATTATTTTTTCTAATATTATGCGCTGGGGCTGCCTGGGACCCTGCCCAGACCCTGCCCGGACCCTGCCCGGCCCAGGCCGCCCAGGAGGGTACCCGGGCGATCTTCCCTCAGCCGGAACGCCTGGGGACCAGCCTAGCCTTTTCCCTAAAAATTCACAGTTCGGTGGCTGCGTCGGCGACCTGTTGTTGGGTGTGTGTGACTGGGTACACCAGGACGCGGGGGAAAAAGAGTGCCTGTGCTGGAGTGGGGTTAAGTGCTCATCTTTGGGCTTAACTTTCGTCCCATTCCACTTAATCGTTTGGTTGAGTATTTGCCTCCTGATTCGGAGGTCTCGTTCGATTCCTGTGATTGACTCATGAGTGCTTTCCCGAGAGAGATACAAAGCCTGGGCATTATGCTTGGGGGATTAAAATAGTCAGGACAGGAATAGTCCTGGCCCTAGCCTTAGAGTAGGAATAGCCACGGTAGTAACCCTGGCCCTAATCTAAAAATAACCTTTATTGTTTCAAATTCAGTTACAAGGCCTACTGCCTTCACCGGAATAGAACGCCTGGTCATTATCACTGTATATAGGGTGAAGTTGCACAAAATACAGCAATAATGACCGGCCCTATTCGGGTGAAGACGGTAGGTTTTATGCTCACAGGGATAAGGTAGTCGGGACAAGAATAACCACAGGAATAGCAGAGGCAGACTGGACCCACACAGTCCATCACAAGGATCAACATATGGATATAGAGTGTCTGAACCATGATTTCCCATGAAGGACGACAACAACGAGTCAGCTCAGCATCGTCCATTACCCAAACATCTCAGACCTGTCATCTCGACCATGTCCAAACTCCCAACCGTTGGCAACATACATAGAATCCCTCAAGAGCAGCCACTAACCTTGTGATTGTATGAATCAGCAATGTAGATGCTCCCGTCTAGTGACTGCAGCACACCTAGAGGATGTTGCAGCTCCACCTTTGTCCCAAATCCATCCTTGTCACCAAACTGTCAGGGGAGCAATCCAATCAGTAAGGTCATGATGCTACTCAATGAACAGGCAACACAAATGGAAAAGTGAAAACTCTTCAACTCCACTATGTGAATTCAGAAGTTGTTTGCTTCCTGAAAAGATACTCTCAGATAGGAAAAATCGATTACTGGGTTTGCCTATTCTGAAAATTAGCAGTAGCAGCAGCAGTAGTAGTAGTAAGTAGTAGTAGTAAGTAGTAGTAGTAGTAGTAGTACTGAAAATTAGCAGTAGTAGTAGTAGTAGTAGTAGTAAGTAGTAGTAGTAGTACTAGTACTAGTAGTAGTAGTAGTAGTAGTAGCAGTAGCAGTCGCAGTCGCAGTAGTAGTAGTAGCAGTAGCAGGAGCAGCAGCAGAAGTAGTAGCAGCAGTAGCAGCAGCAGTGGCAGCAGTAGCAGTAGCAGCAGTGGCAGCAGTAGCAGTAGCAGCAGCAGCAGCAGTAGCAGTAAGAGTAGCAGTAAGAGTAGCAGTCAGAGTAGCAGTAAGAGTAGCAGTAGCAGTGGCAGCAGTAGCAGTAACAGTAGCAGTGCCAGCAGTAGCAGTAACAGTAGCAGTAACAGTAACAGTAGCAGCAGCAGTAGCAGTAGCAGTAGCAGTAGCAGTAGCAGTAGCAGTGGCAGACCTAACAGTAGCAGTGGCAGCAGTAGCAGTGGCAGCAGAAGTAACAGTAGCAGTAACAGTAGCAGTNAGCAGTAGCAGTGGCAGACCTAACAGTAGCAGTGGCAGCAGTAGCAGTGGCAGCAGAAGTAACAGTAGCAGTAACAGTAGCAGTAACAGTAGCAGCGGCAGTAGCAGTAGCAGTAACAGTAGCAGTAGCAGTGGCAGCAGTGGCAGTAGCAGTAGTAGTAGTAGTAGTAGTAGTAGTAGCAGCAGTAGTATATCTCCAGGAGGAGCGAGTAGCTCCTCATTTGATGTGTGCAAGGTTGGGCGACGTACTGCTTGAGAGGGCGCTGTGTCTCAGAGCGCTGCCTGGGAGGACGAAAGAGAGCTGGGCGCTCAAGCCTTCCACATTTGCCGTTTCATTTCAGCAGCAACAATTGGTTAAGGTCATGTGTATGCTATGCAGTCTTGGTGATGTGGGGTTCTTGAATTCTGCAATTTGTTTGATGGTGGTGTAATCTGCTGCAATTTTTTTCCCCCACATTAGCCGTTTCATTTGAGCAGCAACAATCGCCATTTCTTTCCTTGACAATCGTCGTTCATTTTCTTTCCCGGTTGGTGGGCCGAGTCTCTGGACGTCTTTCCTCTGCCTGAATTCGGTCTTCATCGCTTAGGGACCATTCCTCTGGTCGGTCTTTGTCGGCCCCTGAGTCTTCCTTTTCTTCCGAATCTGTTCTTTCTTGACATATTTGAAGGCGGTGAATTCTGAAAGATTTCACCCGACTGTCTGTCTTTTTCCAGGAGCTTGAGGCATGTTACTCGGATATCAAAAACTCTTTTTCGCGTTCACATCTAGCTCTTTCCCTGTAGGCCCTCAGCCATTCCATTGGTGCTTCATTTGGTTTGCTACCAATTGGCGGAGGGCTCTTCACCCCCTGGTCTGCTGCTACGCTGTCAGCCTCATTACCTGTTATGGTGGAAGCGGCTTCTATGACTGGCAACACCAGATCCATCGTTTTTTTTTTCCCTTCCTCGCCAGGGGAGTCCAAAGCCAGCTGGGTAGATAGACGGTCTTCTCTTCTTCTTCTTCTTCTTCTTCTTCTTCTTCTTCTTCTTCTTCTTCTTGCCCACTGTTGCTTTGTGAGCTATCTCTCCGGGGAAGGCATGATTTTGAGTTGCGCTGCTCAATTATCTTCTTAGCCTCAGACAAAATTGGTTTCCACATGAAAATTGAAAATCTTGAGAGAGTTAGACAAAAAGGTTGTCATCAACACAAATCGCCAGAGGCGCAGTCACACCTGCCTGTATTCAGCAGTCTGATTCTTAACCATAGATTACTGGGACTGATGGCGAGAGACACAAAATCCGGGTCAGTGGAACCTTGGCCCAGCTCTCATCAGGAGGAGGAATCACAGACGATAGCCATCCCAGGTGAATAGCAGGGCCTACCTTCTTTCCCCGAATACAATGTACAGTCATTATAGCTGTATTTGAGGCATCTTTCAGTCTAGATACAGCTATAATGACCATACGTTGTATTCGGGGGAAAAGAAGGTAGCTCAGTTGGAATACCCATGGACTGTTGAAATACAGACCCGAGTTCAAATCCAGATAAGAGGGGGGAAAAAAAAAAGGAACCAATGATATGGATGGAACTACGGTAGGGATGCAAACCTTGAAGAGATTGTCTGCGAATGTCGGATCTCCTCCAGCATAGAGTGTAGTTCCGCCGGTCTGCAGATTGACAGCCCTGATTGAACTGCTTTCACTGTCGGCAACATAGAGAACCGTTCGATCTGACAAGAATGCAATTCCACAAAGCAGCATGGTTTCCAGGTGCCCATCAGGAAAGAGTCTTAAATTTTTATTATCCAATGATAATTGAGATAATATTTGTCTTTTGCCTGCCGGGAAGGAAGATGACTACCATCTTCCCCCATACATAATGCACCCTCATCACGACTGTATCGAGCCCAAAAATATAGGCCTTGAAACGGTTTTCACCTTTTTTGCAGACACAGATGCGGATCCCAGGGCTCGATCCCCAGACCTCACCTTACCTTACCTTACCTTACCTGTGTACAGTATCAAGTCGACCCTGTGAGTCTTGAACCCGTGAACTGTGTGTTAGTAGCTGAAAGCTGTCTGTTGTAGGTCTGACTAGTTGTCGGGTCTTGAACCTTAGACCTGTCAAAGTAGGGGTCATACCTGCATAGGGGTCATAGTTGTTGAAGTTCTGAAAGGTCAAGGTCGTAGCTGCTACAGTCCTGAAAGGTCAAGGTCGTAGCTGCTACAGTCCTGAAAGGCCAAGTCCGCAAACTTCCGGAAGGTCCAGAAGTGGCCTTTCAATCTTCTTCTCACGTTATACATAGCAGGCCGGAGGCAAGTGGGCAAGTGGTGAGTCCAACTTCGCATAGTCAGCGGTACCCAGTCCCAGTCTCACTTTGCACAGTCAGCAAGTACCATGAGGGACTGTGTGCACCATGGGCCCAGTGGAAAAGGGCATACGACAAGAGGCAGCGTCCCGCCATTCATTCATTCCTGCGTGAGCCATGCGTAAGCGCTGCCCGAGCGTCTTGTGCGAGGTGGTCTGCAGATGCCCGCGGTCGAAGTGGGCTTGAAGGAGTCAGTATGCCATAGCTAGTAGTAGCCGGCGGCCATAGCCGCCATAGCTAGTGTTAGATGTTAGTGTGTGTGTACGAGTGTGTGATACAGGGAATGTGTGTGGGGTATTCAGGGTGATCCGGAGTTGAGTGTGTGCGAACAGTACAGTGGTGCAGGACACAGTGTCGAGAGTTGGGATGTACAGGCGCTGATGAGCCATAGCCTGTTGAAGCGAGTTTGCATCTGAACTGTGTTCTCGGTTTCCATATCTCTGAGCTTTGAGTGGGCGCTTGGCGCCAGTGTGAATCGCCATCTGTTTGCATGTATGAGAAGTGGAGAAGGAAGCGAATCTGATTGCATTGGTATCGGAGCGGGTTCCCGTTACTCCACGCGCCATCGCCGTTGTTGATAGTCGGGAACTGTAGCTGAAGCTGCGCCATCGAAGGAGGTGGTCCGCCATAGCTGCGCCATTGAAGAAAGGTGCCGCCTACCTGCAAAGAAGACAACGACGGAGAGAGAGAGAGAGAGAGAGAGAGAGAGAGAGAGAGAGAGAGAGAGAGAGAGAGAGAGAGAGAGAGAGAGAGAGAGAG